CAGCCAGACCAACCACACAGACCTGGCCTCTAACGGAAGGGTGGAGAGAGGCAGCCCCATTGCTGGGTTCTCTACCCCTCAGCCGGGAAGTTCCCACTCCTTCTCTAAATACAGAACAGAACAGCAGGCTTCGACCCGATAAGGCAATCCAGTAGGATTCCACAGGTCCGATCCAATCTCATGCAGCTTGTGAACTGGTTCAGGCATAGTTCAGCCCTGTCACACAACAATCCCAAGAACAAAACTCAATAAAACTTTATTTAGACATAAACTTAGTTATGTGAAATTTGTGAAGGCTGAGACACAGGCCAAGCTGAAATTTATTTTGATGTTTTCTCTGATTCAATTACATCTTTTCTCTCTCCCTCTGTATCTTTCCGTCTATCTATCTACCTGTCTATGTATCTCAACTAGTGGAAGTGGGAAACGAATGTTTAAATCTGGCCCCACCAAGCTAGAAGCTACTTAAGATCAGGAACCTGGTGGAAATGCAGGTAAATGTTGAAGTCTGCTTCTCGTAGACTAAGGTGCTTGAGATCAGAACTCATGGCTGGCTCCTGTGTGTCCAATCCATGGAAGGTGCTCCTCGTTTGCTATGAAACTCTCTGCATTTGAGGTGAGCTGGCTGCTTCAAATGTCATCCCACTGATGATGAGGCTGACCCATATGCTCGCACTGACAGAGGAAGGGGCTCTTCCTCCCTGCGTAGCGTCTGGGAAGGTGAGTTAGCAAGCAAGAATGTGTAAATGTGTGTACAGCACGATGTTGACACGGTTGACACAAGTGTTTCGATCCAGCTGGCAGGTATCTCCCTAGAGTGGAGATGGGTGGATCAGAATGTGATGAGAATGTCATCAACTATTAGGATCATTCACCTCCCTTCTGGCTTCAAAGGTACTTGCCTAGCAGGGAGAGAAGAGAGCTAACATGAGTACTACTCTGCTTCATATAGCAGTTACTATTACTATGAAAAATTAATAAACTGCCATCCTGATTTATATCACAATCCTTTGAACTTTTGCTAATGTAGGTCTAGTCCCCAAACCCGATGAATTGTAGGAGTCAAGCTCCAGGCCCGGCCAACAAGAATCTAGAGCCCAAATTGTGCTAGCTTCAGCAAGGCTACAACTCTACAGGACTTCCTTCCTCGGCTGGCTGCCAGCCCTGTTAAACATTCCTCATACTACATAACATCTCAAGAAGTGCTTAATTCCACCCTAGGGGCACTGCATGCTAAAATGAGCAAGAGAAATATTAGCTAGAATAGCACTGTCTCTATCCCACTGGATTGTAAAATGGCACTGAAGTAAAATTCCTCAAGGAACAATATGGCATTAAAAAAAAATCCTTAGTAACACTCAGCGGAGATGAGCTTGACCCAACAAGGCCATTTCATAAAGCTATGCCAGTTGTACTGCACAAGGCACCATCCAAGAAACATCTTTCACACCACAGGCACCGCAGATATTTCTGTTTACTGGCCAACAGCAGTAAGCACCTTGAAGAAAGGTGGCCTTTTTCTAAAGAGCACAAATATACCAGTAAAGGGTAGTATCTGTCCTACAGATAACATCTGATAGAAGGACAAGGTAGCCCACATCTACTGTGTGTGTCTATGTATATAAATAAACAATACTATGATAAAAAATATATGGTGTTTAATTTTTTTTTTTGGTACTGGGAATTGAACTCGGGTCCTTGCACTTGCAAGGCAGGCAGCAGAACCACTGAGCTAAATCCCCAGCCCTAAAATTTTTAATTTATTACAGTAAAATACACATTGCCATTAGGTCCCCTCAAAAATATATAAGTCCATTTTATGCCTCACTCAATTATAACCTCTCTCTAAGTAACAGTTATCCTATTATAGTTACCACTTTTTTGCATTTTAAAAATAATTTTATCACCTAAATATACAAGTTTAAGCACTAGTCTTGCCCTTCTTAAAATTCTTGACATCTTCTAATTCTCTAGGTTTCTTCTCCACAACTCATCTTTATTCTGGATTCTCTGCTGAAGGACCAGGCCACTGGCTATGCAGCTCCTGCGGCGTTTGGATGTTGCCTGCCGTGTGGTCATGGAGGTGTCCAGCACGATCCTTGCTGTCAGCTCAGCCCACTTCAGCTTCAAACCCAGACTGGAGCCCTTTAGCAAGACTGGTGATGTCAGACAATTCCACAGGGCACATCCATCTTGCTGCTTTCTTTTTGTGACCCTAGCAGCTGTTTGTACTCAGTAATGCCTGACGCCAAACACTGGGCACAGCAAAAGGGTGACACTGTATTCTATCTAGCACATCTTTTTCATTCTGAAGAGTTTTGGGATCCAATGGTACAGCTCATATAAAAATAAGGATAAAATGTTTGATTCTTTCTCTTTATTTCTCGTATTCAAGGTAATGAAATTGATCTCTATAATTTTTCAAAGGTGATCAATTATTTTAATGTCATTATCAAGTCATGGTTTTAAACATAGTTGATGAGTTGCAATACTTATCACTTTTGAAAGTCAAACTGTCCCATTTTTAGCCAGTAGGAGGTTCTGAGGTTTTCTAAGAAGCCCTCACAAGTCTTTGAAAAAGACCAGAAGACCTTAGAAGTCCCTTCATTACCAGTTAGAAGCTGTTACAGCCTGTTCTGGCCAACTTCCTGTACCAGACTTATTTCTCTAAGAAGTCCTCATCTCTTTTAGAAGGAAATGGTCCTTTTAAAACCACAATCTGGCACTAAAGATACTTTCTGGACATTTTTTTCCAGGGCTTTTCAGTGGAACAAACTAGGAAATATTGATTCAAAGTCTTAGAATTTTTATGTCTTTATGCATCAGTTAAAATAAATTTAAATTAAAAGGCAAAGATTAAAAACACAGCACAAATTTATACTGAGAATTTCTATTGAAATTCAACACTACACAGTTCTTATTTAACCACTTCTTTGTAACACTGGGATCTCCTTTCTTCCATTCTGAAAATATTGATTCTTTTGTGTATGTGTAGTACTTTTTTTGTGGAGAGAACCCAGGACCTTTGCACTGAGCTACATCTCCAGCCCTCGTTTTATTTTTTATTTTGAGACAGGGTCTTATGAAGTTGCTCAGGATGGCCTTAAACTTGCAATCCTCCTGCCTCAGCCTCACAGGTTTACAGGCATGCACCTTCTTGTCTCACAAGAATCCTGGTTCTTAAAAGCAAAGGAATTGGTATATAATTTCCCAATATTATTTGTTCTATCCCACATGTCTTACCCTGGCTCCCCTGCTATAATAACATATCTTCCATTGGGTAATTTATAAACAACAGAACTGCACTGCTCATAGTTCCTGAGGCTGCGAAGTCCCAGACCAAGGCATCAGCAGAGTCACTGCATGGTAAAGATGCTCTCTGCTTCAAAGATGGAGGCTTCCTGCTGCTTCCTTATAGGGTGGAAGGGGCAGGCAGCTCTCCCCCAACATCTTTTATAAGGACACTAATCCCACTAGTCACTTAATCACTTCCGCCAGAAACCCTACCTCTTAACCTTATCACATTAGGTGTTAGCTCCAATTTAGGAATTCTGTGGGAGCATCAGCACTCAGACATAACACCCCCTATTACAGCAGGTCTCAGAAGGGCCATACTGATATCACCACCAAAACGCTCACCAAAGCACTCAAAATGTTTCGCCTGTGCTCTCCCTTCCCTATTTCAAAACATAGTTCTCCTGCAGCCACTCTGTCAGCATATACCCATATGCACCGTTCAGGACCCTCTCCTCTTAGTCCTCTGGTACTCACAGCTATATAGTAACTATTCTTGTTTTTATGTTGAGGTCTTTCCCCTCACTTTCAGTTGTCAGCAATACATTCTCTACCAGATTTCTGGGTTAGCGCTCATGGGGACTGTTACAAAGTAAATGTCTGTGATCTCAACTCATGTTGAAACTCATCCCTAATGTGATGGCACTGGGACGTGGGGCTTTGGGAAGTGATGTGGATTTGATGAGGTCCTAATGGTGGAGTCTCCATGAGTGGGATTAGTCCCCTTGTGAGAGCCATGAGGGCACCTGCTTCCTCTCTCTGCTCTCCCCCACCTGAGGAAACAGGAGGGTGCCTATATACAACTGGGAAGAGGATCTGCCTGAGAATCCAACCAAGTCAGCACCCTAATCTCAGACTTCCAGACTACAGAATGGGGACAAATAAATCTCACTGTTTATAAGCTGGGTAGTCCATGTCACTTGGTACAGGAGCCCAGATAAGACTGGAAAAATACTCCCTAAGTTCTTGCATATGTGCCCTTCCCACTTAAAAGCCAGTTTTGCTGGATATAAAATCTTTAGCTCACACTTTCCTTGACTTTTTAAAATATTGTTTCATTTTTTTTAATCTTCAGTAAGTGCTGCTGTTGACAAGTTTAATGAAAGACTTTCCCCTATAAATCGTGGTCCCTTTTTTTTCTAGAAGCACAAAACTCTCTTTTCTTTCAGAATCACACTGTCAACATGCTCACACACACAGTGTGCTCTTTCCATATGTAGTTGCATGTTTTCTTTTTATTTAAGGAATGTTTTCTTGGATTTTTATTAGTTCAGTTCCCTCGCTTTGGTTCTCTTTGTGATCTTACTAGCCATATGCTCTATGTTCTTTACCTGCCTCGATATTTGGCACTTTCTCTAGAACTCGCCTCCCCTTTAAATTTTCCTAATTTTTTATTTCTAATTAGATACTCTTTTGTTGTTTTTCTTCACTCTTAGGGCCCGCCAAATTTAGTCTTCATTTCTAAAATAATTTCTTCTTTATTTCTAATTTTCCTGATTTTGTCATCTCATTTCCGACTAATCTAGTTATGATGTTTCGTGTCTTATATAATTTTCTTAAAGTCTTTCAGCCCATTGTGAAACAATAAATTAGCTTTGATGGGTGGGGGTTTTTTCCAATTTTTTATTTTTATTTCTATTTCATTTTTTGGTACCAGGGATTGAACTTGGGTCCTTGTGCTTGCGCAACAGGCGGAGAAACCACTGAGCTAAATCCCCAGCCCTAGTTTTGATGTTTTTGTAAGCACGTCCTTTAGAATGCTTTCAGTGTGTATGATATTATTCATTCTTAATTCTTTATTATCTTTGCACAGGACATGATATTGACTTTTTTTCTGTTGTGGATTTTTATGTGAAATTGGTTTTCCTAAACTATGAGAATTAAACAGGTTAAATGTTTTTTAAAGTTTCTAACTTCACAGAGCTCCCTCTTCTGTTGTTTTTGTGAAATGTTTAAAAAAAAAAATTGTGACATTTCGCTGCCTCTCTGACTACTCTTCATTTGCTCTGGACTTTCCTCTTCCTGTCCCTGTCCTGCTCACTTTTGATTTCATTCCCAGCAGTTTCTCCTTCCTTAGGTGGGAGGCCCTGGTCCAGAAGGCAGCTCCAGAAGGTCAGTTTCAAGAACCCCAAGACCAGAGCCCCCCTGAGCCCTCTTATCCTGAGCTCTTTGCCCACACCAGGTGCCAGGGCAGGGAACGTGTCTTTCGCCAGCAGCTCCCCAGCAAAGGCCACCTGGTGACTTGGGAGTTCTCCTGTTTCCAGGGCCAACGTGCAATGACACTTGCTCCTTTTTGTCTCTCATGCACCGTGCAATCTTTGGCTGCTGGTATTTCATCTCCAACTACCTGTATTTTGGGATTTAGGGTATCTTGTTACCTTAGGGTCATTTTGCTTTGTTTTTGCAAATGTTGCCTACAAATTTTTGACCCTGCTATTTAGTTGCTGTGTACATCTTTATTTGGGACTTTGTATGTGGGCAGGATGCTGTTATCATCTCTTTCTTCCCAGGACCATTATTTTTTAATTCAAGTTAATTTTTGCTTCCCCTTGACTCCTTCCCCTTCTGAGTCATGGGTGTCCATTTTGCAAAGAAGCCCTGTATTATATGTACTGTGTGTGTTTCAAAAGAGAAATACGTGGGCTGGGTGCCAGGGGTGTGGAAAGGTTACTGATCGGGGCAGAGCTGAAAAAGGTCAAAGACACAGTCCCTGCCCTTAGGAGTTTATAACAAAAAAATCCAACATACCTGTGCTCGGTGAGGTAGAGCCACAACCACCACCATCCCAGTGCCAGCTTAGTAGCTTGCTGTGCCAACTGGCATGGTCACCTTCTTGGGACCTTAGCGTCTCCATCTGTAAAACCCAGAGCATCTCCTGCCCCAGTCGATCACAGACTTCGGGGAAGAATGAAATAATGGAAGCATTTGTGTTCTGGTCACCAATGACCTGCATCCTTGTTCCTCATCTTGTCTCTGCCCTTCCATGTTGTGGACAATGAAAGCTTGACACATTCTGAGCACCCGGTGTTTGCACCTTGAGGAAAGCAGTTAAAACCCTATTATGTGACAATTAACTTAAAATGCTCCTCAGCCTCGTCAATGATGACAAAAGTTAATGTTCCCATGGTTGAGGGCCAGCCTCCAAAAGGACCCTTCACACTGAAGAAGTGGCCTTCACTTCAAAAGTCAACCATCAGAAGACAAGCAAGGGCTGAGTTTTTTAAATGCATTTTTTATTATTCAGCCTTCAGCAGAAATGTCACCTTTCTAAAGCAAGCTGTTATCATGCGCTCCCTGTGCCAAACAGGCGCCTCTGAGGAGCAGGATTTTATCTCAGCATTTTTAGTGATTTGTGTTTCTCTTTCAAGGAGCTCCATGCCTTAAGGCACCTGAAACAACAACACCACAAGAAGGTAAAGTGACACGAGGAGCCGGTTCCCGGACATGAAACGGGGATTCTGCAAAACAGGTCAAGGGTGGGATCAAAGCGCGGTCCGTAGCCGCCCGCCCACTAACGCATGTCCTCTCCTCGCAGCTCACTGTTTGCTGGTGGGCTCCTTGGTTGAGACCAGATTCTCAAAGAAACTGCATTTTGTGACAGGGCCCCCGTCAGCAGGCTCAGCCACATGACAGGCCTAGTAGCAGCCAGCACAACTGCGGGCAACGCTTGCCAATAAGCCAGATGCTGCCACATATTGGCATCTGGGTCCTGGAATAGCAACCATGTTCTCAGTCTGGCTAGGGATTCTGACCCTAGCTATGGAAGGAGACAAAGGAAGGAAAGAAAGAAATGGAGCAAGGGGAGGGAGGGCAGACTGGGGAAGAGTCTCTTGGTAATTTCCCTACCGTGGATTTAGAGCTTCCACAACAAAAGACTGGCTGGAAAGCTGTGACCATGCTGCAACGGGCGGGAGAGGTAGAGACGGGAGCATTCTAAGCCCGGCAAGTTATTCTGGCACCTGGGAAATGGGGGTGGCTGATTCAAAAGGAGACAGCTGCATCAGGCAGCAACTGCTCTCCCCTCCTCTCCCTCATCCATGATGGCCCTCAGTGGAGATGAGCTACAGGGCACAGCTTTGCATCTGCAGCCCAGGGACAGCATGGCAACATCAGGATGGCTGTCACCCATCTGGGCGCCAAGATTTACTAGGGCCAGCAGGGCCAACCACACAGCGAGGGCCACGTCCAGCCCCCAGACAGGGGGGTCCTCACAATCAAGGGTGCTCTGATCACGGGAACAGGGTGCAGGGTGCCACCGCCTGACAGCGACTTCTGGTCTTGCCGTAGTCACAGCAGGTATGGGCTGGATCTCCGCCTAGGGTTTGAAGTAGGACACAAGAAAAGGAGATGCAAGTGACAGTTCTTGATCAAAACATCAGGTTCTACCTGGGGTCCTCTTTACTACAGATCACGTGGTTGTCAGGGGTTGCTCAGGGCCTTGCACTTGAAAGATGGCTCACAGGAGCAAGTGGAAACGAGAGGTAGGTTCTGTGGGGGATCAGCCTGGCTCGCTCCTCTGCAGAGGGCAGTTTCCTTTGGGTCGCACTGGCTTCTCTGTCAGCCTGATGCCTGATCCCTACCCAGGATGCCTTGGCATAACTGGTGTGTTCCCGGGGGGGGGGGGCAGGGGACACTGAGGGGATCCTCTGCCCAGTGCTGGTAAAAGCAACACAAAGCCTGTCCTATCTAAGGCAATTTAGGCAGCAGGGTCATTCTTTAAAAAGGACAGCACGTTAGGACAGGTGCGTCCTGGCAAAGCCCAGAGGCAGACAGAGCAACTGAGGACATCAAACTCCACCCACTGAAAACAAAATTTTGCAGGCACTTTTCCAAAGTCAAACATACATTTGGCCAAAGTATATTTTATTAACAATCTCAGCTAATACTCTTTGCACCATATAAACAAGAGATCCTCGAAGTAGAAAAGATCACGGCTCACACACAAAGCCCACACACACACACACACACACACACACACACACAGACACACACACGCACGCACCTCCAGACAACATCTAATTTCACTTCACTACCAGGAAGCCTGATGCCTGTCTGCCAGAGGTAAAAACCAAGCCTACCCAGAAAGCATCCCCGGCTGAGCCCTCCAGTTCTAAGGAAAATGCAAAGCAGCTACGCTTCACTGTCAGAATCCAATGAGAACATTCTGGTATCCTTCCCAAACTTGGCTGTGAGTCTTGGCATTCTGATTTCAAACAATGCAAGGACTAAATACTGAATTTCAACTGCAGCTCTGCTTGCGAAGGAGCCCAACAATACACAAGTAACCAAAAGAATTATAATTCTAATTTGATATTTATGCCATCTATTGTAAAATGGACCTAAGATAACAAAAGCTGTGAATAAAAGATAACTATGACAGAGGGCGCCGCATCTCTAGGGGAACCGATCCACTCCCCACTTCAGCTCCTCTTTTGCCCCCTCTGATTTTCTCCTCAGCTGCTTGCCTGTCCCCTTGCCTTTCCTTCGTCCTTGTCTCCATTACCCATCTTCCACCCATCACCCTTTCCCACTGATAGGGGCCCTCCCTGCGCCGGCCTCTCAGGAATATGCTGCTAGAAATGTCTTCAGACGCAAACATCCACCCCATAGAGGGACACAACATGGACACGGTGTGATAAAAAAAATACAGCAGGGGCCAAGGATTTAGCTCAGTGGTTCTGCCACCTGCCTTGCAAGCGGAAGGATCCGAGTTCGATCTCCGGTACCAAAAAAAAAAAAAATACACTGAATGTTTTCTTTAAAGATGTATTACAATAAAAGATACATTACCACTAATCACCCGCAAAGTATTCCTCCCTCACTTCAGACAGTTCTCCCGCGGGTCTTGCTGCCTTCTGAAGCAGTTCCAGCAGTCCTCTTTCACGTCTCTGTGGCTGCTGCAATGTCCTCAATCAATCTGAAATGTTTACAGCAACTTCTGTCAAATAAAAACATGACCACGTGTCCTCATCCACAGTATTCACTGTATCTAGGACCGTGCCACTTCTGGCTCTTCTCCAATGTCAAAAAGACCATGAAGGATAAACACCCTGAATCCATTCGGGACATCAAGGCAGCCACAACAGCACAACTCAAAATATTCACAAAAGAGGACTCCCAAGAAGGCTTTGGAAACAGCAAGGACAATGGGCTAAGTGGGTTCCAAGCAAGGGGCAAGATTTGAGGGGGATTCATGGGAATGTGTCTTTTCATGTAACACATTAATTTAGACAGTGGTGTAGTTTTTATCACACCATGGAGTAGGGAGGGAAGCAACAGGGTCAAGCTGAACCGAGCCAGCGGTCCCCAAACCTGCGTGGGGATCAGCACTGGTGGGAAGGCCTCGTTCACACACAGACCCAGGTCCCAAGGAAGCCACCTGGAAAGGGCATGAGATTTCTCATCCTATCTAAGGCCCAGAGAATGCTAATGCCTGTGGCCTAGGGATCACTTTTTTGTGTCTTCCTAAATCTTTTAATTGCAAATAATTTTAAACTTAAAGAAAAGTAGCAAGAAGAGTAAAAATCACCTGGTTCTCTTGACCCAGATTGGGGACCACTTTTGAGGAACCACTGAGCTAAGGCAAATTGTGTCAAAAGTCTGATACAAGAGCGAAGTCACCTGGCAGGAGGTAATGTCTTCTGAGAGCAAAGATCAGAACACTACCTGGACAGAAAGCAAATCAACCCTTTAGAAGCAAAACGTGGGAAGGAGAGTCACAAAAAGACAATCAAGCGAGCTGCCCCAGGAGGTGGCAGCTCCGAGGGCATCACGGTCACCCGTGGGGGTGGCGGTGGGCCAGCTCTGCAGGGCTGCTCCCTGGGAGCTCCTGGGGTGAGTCTACAAACAGCCCACAAGCTCTCGGTCTAAACTGGCTTCAGGAAGAAGAGGAAAGCAATTATTTGATAGGGAAACCCCACTCTGTACACGAGAGAAACGACAAGAGGGTGATTCTGGGCCCCTCCTTTATATTCTCCCCCTTCATTCAGAACTTTATCTCTTGCCTGAATTTCTGCAAAAGCTCCTAACTGCTCTCCCTGCCTCTAATCTCTTTCCTTCCAATCTACTTTCTATTCTAACCCCAAAATTATCTCAACAGTACGCTAATGCCCGCTGTCCAAGAAACTTAGCTAGCTCCCCACAATCTAGCAAAGGAAGCCCAAGCATCTTAGCATGGCACCTAGGCTGGCCGAGCCCACCCTTCCCACTCGTGGACCTACAGCCAAGGCACACCCACACCCACAACCTAGCTGAAACACAGCCCTCGCAGCTGCCCGCCTTTACACACAACTGGGGTTTTCATTGCTTTGTTTTTTGTTTTCCTTTTGTCTCATGCTGCCCTGGAATCGTTTCTTCTCCTCAAACGAAATACAGAAAGTCCTTATGTTTAAAAATCCTATTTCCAGGAAGAAAAGGTCCAAAGGGCTAGGGGTAGTGGGAGGGGCATGTGTTGTATACCTAAAATGTACCAAATAAAAGAATTTAAGTAAAAAACATCCTATTTCCAGGTCCTGCTCAGCACAGGCAGGCTGCCCGCAGCTCCTCGGATCTCTCCTCCCCGAAGCACCACCCTCAGATGGGAGCTGCCAACCTCGCCATGTTCTGCCCCACTTGTTTCTGCCCTGCTTTCTTCTCTGGGAGTTTTATGAGGTCCCTGAAGGAAGGTACCACATCTTTTGATCAAGGAGTAGAGAAGCCCATCATGGGAGGAGAGGGGTAGATGAAGAGGAGATAAAGGGATGAAGGGGAAGAAATTAAAAAGCAAAAGGAGCTAACAGTCAGGGAGAGAGTTCAATTTGAAAGAAGCTTTCTTAGAATCTTTTTGCTAAAAGCAGATCCTTCAAGTATCTAACACATTTTCTTTCTAGAACAATCCTAAAAAAAACTGAAGTGTTACATAACATTTTTCAAATATTTTGCCAACATGAAACCTCCTTTCTTTCTGTCTTCTGTCTCACCTGAGTCACTTTATATACATCTCCTGTGTGACCAAGATAGCATCGTGTTTTAGTCATTACTGGGCACTGAAGCATGATCTACTCCCTTTAAATCCCTTTTAGATGGGCTGCTTTCAGTAGGGTGCACACACTCCTGCCTTGTGTATTCCTAACACTACCAAATACCCTAGCTGTAGGAGGAATCTCATCCAGATTCCTAGAAGAGTTCACTATTTGATAGGAAATTTTGAGGTTTACCAAAACAGGATGGTAGCGATTCTCACTGTGCCCAAAGCCAACCTGTTTGTCATTCTTCCTTAGCACATTCGCTACCAGGCATCCTACCCAAAAGGAGCCACATAGCCCACTTCGGACTCTGGCCTCGTCCTTCATTCCTGGCCATGTCAGCTGCCTTCAGCTGCCTTCAGCAAGGACACAGGAGAGAAAACTGACTCTACCTCTGTATGTCACTTCGTCCTTTCCAGAGAAGGCCAGCCACTGCCTTTCCTAAGTCAGCAGCAACAGTTCCAGTGCCTGCCTGAAGCTTCCCCAGGGAAGAGCAAAGCACTGCACTTTGAGTCCAGATCAGCAAAGAAGGCTGCCTCTTGCTCCAGACATCCGGGTCGAGACACCTGGCAAGCAGGCTGCCAGGCTATCCCAGCCCTCCAGGGATCGCTGTCACTCTCACCGTCACCAACTGTCTCTGCCTCCGTGTCTCCCCGAGATGAGACACCTCGGTCAGGGGAAGAAGTCACATGACAAAGACCAAAAACACAAGGCCATTCCTTCTCACTGCGCAGCATCATGACCCTAAATCCCTCCCAGAGGCGGGCTGTTCTCTGGTTTCCTATTCCCCATCCTTGAGAGAGTATGTGAGGCCACATCTCAGAAGCCCAGAGAACTTTGCTTCGTGTCTCCTAACTGCTATTTACAGCTTTATTTGGAAAGACGGACTTCACAGCTTCTGCCATTTGATAACCCTTCAACAAGAAGGCTGAACGTGAAATCCTTAAATTCAGCTGAATAGACATCAGATACTCAAAAATCCAAATTACCTGCGCTAGTGGAGATTAATATTCTGTGCTAAGTAGGAAGAGAAAGCATCAGTCTGGTCCACTGATTACGCCTGCCAAGCCACTGAGTCAAATAAACACATAACCAATGACAGCTGGGGGCCCCAGGGGATAGAGCGCTACCTCGGCCACTGGGATGGGCCAGGGGTACTAGCGCAGGGCTGCTGCCCCACTTCCTTCACCTTGCCAGACTTCCATCTGGACCTTCACCTCTCCTTTCCAGCACAGAGCTGACGGAGGAATAATCACTCAATATTTCAGTCTATTTCTAGTTCAAATAGCCACCTAACCACCACGGACTACAATCCTGAGTGGGTATAAGACAGCAACTCAGGCCTCCAGGATTACCAAAAAAATAATGATAAGAAAACAGTTCAGTACCTGTCTAAGATTTTCATTAACCTTGTCATCTACAGAGTTGGTTTCTCGTATTAGTTCACTCTGAAAAACAGAAAATGCATTGCATACTTGTGAAACTTAGAACTCACCTAGCCTATTATTCCACAGGTAAGAAAAGAGTCACAGAATAGGTTCCTGGACTAAGGTTGCAGGCTAGTTAGTCACAAAGCCATGCCCAGAACAGCACTCTAAGACTTTCCGCTATATTCCCAGTCCCCAAAGAGAGCTTGAAATACCAGGCCCCATTACCCAGGGCGTGTGACGGGCCAGAGGTTATATCAACTACTCTGGTGGCGAAAGCCAACCAATCTTATGCTTTGGCCTTCACTATGAAGTCACCCTTATGGGAGTCTAATAAAGATGCTGTTAAGGGGCCCTCAAGAGGCCTTACCAACCCGTTCTTACTCTTCAGTTCACTGCATGAAAGCAAACTCCAATCTTGGGTCACACTGACTCTGAGATGAAGTAAGAAAATCTTGAGAGTCAAAACACAATAGGAATTGTAGCTTTTAAAAGGAAGGTTTAAGTATATTATCAAGAGTTCAGTTAATTCCTAGAAGTAGAAAGTAGAAATGGTGGTGACCGGAAGGAGGGAGAGGAACCGGGCAAGGGGAGAGGTTGGTGAACAGTCAAGTGTCACTCAGACAACAGAAGAGACTCTGGTGCTCCACTGCACGCGCAGTGATGGTAGATAATGTGTATTTCAAAGATTCAAAAAGAAGGGGGTTAAAATGTTCTCACCACAAAGAAATGAGCTGAGGTGATGGATATGCTAATTAGCTTGACTTGATAATCCACAATGTATATGTGTACAAAAACACCATACTGTACCCCATAAATATGTAAAATCAGTATTTCTCAATTAAAAACAAAATAGGGCCGGGGATTTAATTTAGCTCAGTGGTTCCAGCGCCTGCTTCACAAGCGCAAGGTCCCAAGTTCAATCCCCGGTACCAAAAATTAATTAATTAATTAATTAATTAAAACTTTTTTAAAAAATAAGAGTTCCATTATTGTTAAGAAATAACCCCCCCCAAAAAAATCTATGTCTCCAATAATATTAACTCCCGTAATGGTTAAAGCAAGCTGCAAAAGTGATGGCCTTCTCTGTTACTCTTGGGAAGCTTAACTTACCCACCTGTGAAACAGCAATGGAGGATTTCCGTGTCACACCCGAAGTGGCACTGTGCTGTGACAGGTACTGCCACCTGTCTACAAAAAGCATGGCAAAATAGTCCTCAATGACAGCGGTGATTTCATATAAACACAGGGAAACAAGGGAGCAGATGCACAGGTAGGTGGGCATCCACCCATTTTGCAGTAGCTAAAACGTGGCAACAGTCCAGTGTGCACTGAAAGGAGAATGGCTGAACACCATGTGGTGCATGCAAACAACAGAGTGCTACTCAGCTGTCAGAAGGAATTCTGAGACCTGCTGCAGCACGGAAGAACCCGGAAACTTCACAGTGTGTGAATGAGCCAGATGCAAAGGGACAAACATCATGTGGTTCTACTTATATAAAGTACCTAGAATCGATGGGGTGATACAAAAAAGCTCTGGGAATGGAAAGTGGTGATGATTGCCCAAAAATGTGAACATGCCTAATGACACTACTGAATTGTGTATTTAAAAAGTTAAAATTTTATTATATGTTTTACCATGATAAAAAAACCAGAGGCGATTGCCACTGAGTGGTAATTTGTGATTTTGACTCATATTCCCTTGCTTGAGCAAACAAAATACAAAAAAAAAACAAAACCAAAACCAAAAACCCAGGACCCAGCATTACTCACACCATTTTATATAAATAATCAAATAAAAATAGTCTGGTTTCTCTCCACAGTCATTTCTCCTGGTGTTTATCACTAAAATAATTCATGCCCACTATGACTATGAATGACATGTACACTAAGCACTCGCTCCAATCAAATGTGCAGAGAGAAAACACAGGGGGGAACTGAAGCCACGGAACTGTGTCATCAGACTGACATAGCAACATCTGTTGACACGACTGTCCTTTGAATCCAGGGGCCGATCATGTGGTAGGGCAGGGATCTTCACCTGGGCTGTGGAGTCCTACTTTCGTGTCACAGGGCACTTCTGGAAGGAAGTTCTGTGATGGCCAGCTCTGGGGACTTGCAGATTTCCTACCAGTCCTACAGGATGTCACTCCTGTGTCTCACCTGCGCCAGTTCCTGTTTGCAGCCCGGGATGGCGAGCTGAACCCAGATCCAGGGAGTGAGGTCACCAGGACTGAGCCATGATCCTGGTGACCTATTCCCCAGCCTGGTGTTGTTGCAGCCCTTCAGCTGGGCTCCAGGTTATAAAGAGACCAAAAAGGAAAAAGAGGAGTAGAATAACAGAGAAAGGAAAACTGCTTGCACATTTCCTTTGTTTCACTAAAGCATTTTCTGCTTCCATTTAATTTACTGGGAGGACCTGGGTGATGGCATATGGATCTGTATAGATGCCTTGCAGCAGGGGTGGGCTCTTGTGTGCATCTCAAAAGTACAAAAGAGAAAAATTTCAGGGACTGGGGATATAGGTCAGTGGTGGAGCTCCTGCCCAGCAGATAGCTCTGGGTTTCATCCTCAGCATCACACCCAAAAAAAGAAAGATAAAATGGGGGGGGGGGGTGGAGAAAGAGAAAGAGGAAGATGGAAAAAAAAAAAGAAAGAGGGAAAAACTTTGTATTATTTTGAGCAGCCACTAACTCGGAAACAGTGCCTCATTTTTCCTTCAGTAACATTTAAAACTGACAACACTTCTTAAATATTTGTAAATTTTTATGAAGAGAGCGTGACCACAACAGTTATCTTGGCAACATAAAAAAATAACAAATACAAATGTCTGGAGATGTGTGGATGTTTGCATTCTTTACACATAATGTCAAGTAGACTAGGAGCTCAAATCTGGAAAGCTTATACTGCTGCAAGTAATAAAATAGGATTGCCGTTTGATTTCATTTAGACAAGATCCTTTGGAGCCTTTTGGTTCATTTACCAAAAAAGTAAAATGAAGCATAAGCAGCAGCAGCAAAAGTTGATAATATTCTGAAAAGGAACAACAATAAATTCTTTGAAAATTTTTTTAAATGTGTAAAGCCATAAGTTATTAAATGAAGGAGACGTCTACATTTTTACCACATTTATTTTGTCATGATTTTTTAGTCCCAACTAACATGATACAATTTGGGAAATAAATATTCTCCTTTTTTGTTGCACATGTGCTGCTAACAAGGGCAGGAAGCAAAGAATCAGCAAAGGTTGCAAGAAATGGAAAGGTGGGGAAAGAAAGACGAGGCTGAAGGGCGGGAAGTGTTTCTATGAACCTCCCTAAAGAAGCACTGCCAACCCACCAAGTTCCACGGTGACAACATAAAGTGTTTTCGCCTCACAGAAATCATCCGGAGCCACATTCGAAGTCCACGAGTTATACACGTCTCAGGGTGGGTTTCCTTTCACATGTCATGCGTGTATTTTTTCACACTTTGCAGGCCCCATTGATGACACTGTTCACCAAGCACTTTCAGTGCATTATTCAGCAAATAATTTGATGATGTAAACCAACCTTGGTTAGCAGAGGGGAGTCAGCTGCCTTGTAAGGTTCTTTCTTTCAAGTGAAACAGGTCTGTACTTAGAGCTCTGAGTTGGAGGAACCTCTGGAAGCGCATTCCTGTTTCAGCCGGGTTTGCACGCACTTGCCACCCGAATGTGGATTACATTAAGCAACACCCTGGTTAAAGGTACGAATATAACAGTTCCTGGCACAATTAGCTAGTATCTGTCCAGACAGTGAGTGTAAGTGGAAGCTCTTTTAGCTCCTCCCCTAGGTCCTCGAAAGGCCTTGATCCGGAGGCTTTGCTGCTCCATAACGACTGTGCACTGTGCGGCTGAGCTGCTGTTTCAGAGATCAGAATGTGTGAAAAGAGCCCTGGGTGGCGTTCATCTCATCAGTGCTGCCCAATCCACGGGAGTGAAAAACGGGTGAGATTTGATATCTTCAACACCGGCGACTCCAGCTCCCAGACGTTCCAGGGGGTTGAACTGTAAGAGCTAAAAGAGAAGGATTCAGTGAATCACAGGAATCCAACTAGTCAATCAAAAGAAAACAAAGGAAAGAGCTTCTGAATACAGCCTTGGTGCAAATGGGCTTTACAGCCAGAAGACTGTTTTCGTGAAAGGGAGCAATGTCTACCATCACTCTAGCTGTGGGGAAGAGGGGGCAGATCTCACTAAACTGATGGTTTTTCAACTGTTTTGAAGATGACCTTGGGCCATTTTCTTCATTTCCCCCAACCTCATACAGTACACAAAGATTAATTTCCTGCTTCCAAGGTACAACAAGGCATTCATTAGGTACTGCACTAAATCCATAATTTGTACATTTGGAAGGCACAGTAAGTTTTAATTCCTAACTAACTACTACAGTGATTTGGTCTAAACTTTACCTAAAATCTAAACAAGCTAATCTGTATCGCTAAATATTTTTCTTTGGAACTGCTGGCTCAAATGAAATAATTTAATCCAATGAATGAAACAGGTTTTGATTTCTTCAGAAAGAGAAATCACATGTGAAAGAATTGTTATATGAACAGGGTTGTTAATGGTGGAGAACAAAAGTAATCGTGTACAATTATCTGAGGAACTTGGGCATGCTGGAAGAATATGTCTTGAGATACCCATGCATTCTCAGATTTATATGCTACAAAATTCATCTATTACCAATGTATACAGTTGGGTGATTGTTTTTTTAGTAAATTTAAAGTTGTGTAAGCACCATCACAACCCAATTTTAAAACACTCTGATGGCCTTAAAGTTTCCCTATGCCCTTTTGCAGTTAATTCCCACTTCCAATCCCAGACGAGGCAACCAGTGGCCTGCTTCTATCTCCATGAACTTGCCTTTTCTGAACATTCCATGTAAATTCAATCATAAAATATATAGCCTTTGCAGCTCCCTTTCTTCACTCAGCATAATGTTTTTAAGATTCATCCACACTCTAGCAGGTATCAACATTTTATTTTCTGAGTAGTATTCCACTGTTTGGATAGGCCACATCCTCTTAATCCAGTCACCAATGAAGGAACCTCTGGGCTTTCCAGTTTGGCATTATAATGAGTAACGCTATTAACATTTGGATATATTTTCTCATTTCTCTGGAGTACATTCCTAGGAGTGGAACTGCTGGGTCACATAGTACGTTTGTGTTTAACTTTTTAAGAAATTACCAAACTTTTCTCCAGCGGCAGTAGGCAAGTTGCATTCCCATTAGGAGCGTGTGAGGGGCCCCATTTCTCCAGCACTTCAGTACTTGGTCTCTGATAACACTTCTAGTGCACACTAGTGATATTTTATTATGTTTTTAATTTGCATCCCTAACCACTACCGATGTTAAGCATCTTTTCATGCTCTTATTAGCCATTCATATAGCTTCCTTGGTGAAATAATCTTTTGCCCATTTTAAAAATAAGTTGTCTGTCTTATTCATTTATAAGACTTTTTGTATATTCTGAATTCAAGTAACAACACATCTTGCAAATATTTTCTCTCAGTCTGTGGCTTGTGTTTTCATTTTCTTAATGCTGTCTTTTGAAGCGCTCAACTTTTTCATTTTAATGAAGTCTACTTTATCACTATTTTCTTTTATGAGTCATGATTTGGTGTTATGACTAATTAACTCTTTACTTAACTCAAGGTCAGGAAGATTTTCTATGTTTTCTTCTATAATTTTTATACTCCTAGCTCTTCTGTATAGGTCTGTGAGGCACTTTGAGTTACTATTTTTTCCATATGGTATGAAGGGTCTTAGTACATCATGTTTTTAGCATGTGAATGAATATTTGATTTCCCAGCACCATTTATTAATAAACACACTGTTGTCTGAGTTGCCATCATGTAGAAATTAACTAGTATAAGTCTTCCAACTTCACTCTTCCCTTTCACAATTGTTTTGGATGCTCCAGGTCCGTTGCCTTTTTAGTACAATTAAGAGTCAGCTGATGTTTCCCAATTTTGCTGATCTTTTCAAAGACTCTGTGACTTCATTGGTTTTTCTTTTTTGTTCTTTTTTCTGTTTTCTATCTTACTGATTTATGCTATCTTTCTTCTGCTTGCTTAGGATTTACCTTGCTTTTTATGCTTTATTTCTATACTTTCTTATGCAAGCTTAGATTTTTGAGACTTTTTCTTTTACCTGGTATATGGTTAAAGACATAAATTTTCCTCAATAACTGATTTAGTTCTATTCCACAAATATATTGTTTTCATTTTCATGCAGTTAAAACTGTTTTGTAGCTTTTCTTAGAATTTCATCTTTGATCCATAAATTCCTTAAAAGTGGTTTAATTTTCAAATATTTGTGGATTTAGCAGATCTCTTTCTGTTGCTGATTTCTAACAGCTCTGATATGGTCAGCGTACAATCTAGGACTGCAATCCTGTTAAATACTGACACTTATTCTGTGACCTACCACATGATCTAGCTTGGAGGTTTGTTTCACATGCACCTGATAACAATGTACGTTCTGCTGTCACAGGGTAGAGTGTTCCATGTATATCAGTTATAGGTGTTTAATAATACTGTTGGAGTCTTCTCTACCCGTGTGATTTTCTATCAGTTATCAAGAATGGAGCACTGATGCCTCCATTTATTATTACTGAACTGTCTATTGTTCCTTTGAATCCAAGTGTTTTATAAATTTTGAGGTGGATATAAGTGCACATACGTCTGTAACTGTTAAGTTTCCTATGTGTTGATCCTTTTATTGTTATGAAACACCTGTCAGTCTCTACTATGTCTCTTGTTTCAGAGCCAATTTTGTTTCTGTTTAGTACAGCCACTCCAGCACTATGGTTACTGTTTGCATGGTTTATCTTCTTCTATCCTTTTTCTTTCAACCTACTTGTGTCTCTGAATTTAAAGTACAGCTCTTGTACACAGAAAATAGCTGAATCTTACTTTTAAAATCATCTTAACAGTATTTGCCTTTTGTTTGGCTTGTGTAGACATTCACTTTGAATGTAATCACTAAAAATGTGGACTTACATTTGCCTTTTTACTTTGTAGGTCTGTCTTTTTGTTCTTCCTTTATTGATTCTTTTGTGTTAAATGCTTTTTACTGTATCATTTCATTTCTCTGCTAATTTTCTTTTACTATTTTGTTTCTAGGAGTTTTTGTTTGTTTTGTGGTTGCTATAAGGATTGTATATGCATATTAACTTATCACAATCCCCTTCTGGATAAAACTTAATTTCAGTAAAAGGTAGAATCTTTGCCCCACTAAAGCCCATTTGTTTCCCCTTTCTTTTGTCTACTGTTGTCTTCCCTCAGTATCCACAGAGGATTGACTGCACAACCCACTGTGTGTACCAAAACCGTACTCAAGTTTCTTACATAAAATGGTACGGTATTTGCGAATAGCCTACACACTTATCCTTCAAATCACAAACCTTAAACCACCCCTAGATTATTCATTATAGTAAATGCTATATAAATAGTTGTCATATTGTATTGTTTGGAGAATAATGACAAAATTTCTTTCCAAATATTTTTGATCTGCAGTTGACTAAATCCATGGACACAGAAGCTGAGTGTATTTACATATTGCATCTATGTGTGTTATAAGCCCAAAAGCAAGGCTTTATAATCATTGCTACACCCAATTTTATAACTTTTAAAGGAAGCTGAGAAAAATATATATAATCTTTTCTATTAATTTGCAGCTACCATTTCATTTCCATTACTGTTCATTTCCTCTTGGGAGTTACTACTTGGTGTCGTTTCCTTTCGGCCTGATAGAATCCTGTAGTACTGCTTGTAATGCAGATCAGCAGGAACAAATTGTCCCAGTGTTGCTTTATCTTCATCATCTTCTTTCTTGAAAGGTCACTTTAGTTTGTATTCTTAAGGGTGACTTCCTCAAGGTCTTCCATGTCTGGATCCTTTTGTGGTCAAACAGTGAGTGAACAACGGAGGTTGTTTTCGGATTCCTCAGCTGTGCGCCGGTGTTCTACCAGTGGGTAGGAGAACACATTCCATGTTTAGGCCATTAAACCAAGCGCACCAGGCTTTCCTGCCCCAGGCCCTACCTGTCCTGCACATGCTGGCGCAGCCTCGGGCTTCACCCCCACGGCCTGCCCCACCCTGGCAGAAGCTTCGCCCCTGATCCAGCACGGGGGGGGGGGGGGGCACGGAACAGACCGAGCCATGAATGCCAGAGTCCCACTGTTTTTCCCCAAAGTCCGGCTGTCTTTCATGCATAAACACTTTCCAGATTATTGAATCCTTTGATCAATTTCCAGAGCACTGAAATGACTGCTTTGGGGTTATTTTGGGTTTTTTACCAATTCTGTCCAACTTATATACTTCTGGGCAACACAGAATTTGTCAACTTCTTCATGCAGTCACAGCCACTCAAATTTGCTGCTAAAACAAATAATTTTTCCAGAGAAGATAGCCAAAGTACAACTGAAGTATTTAAATGGTTTCTCTGCAACATTAATGGTCTTACATACATAGGAAGTTTCACTGCCCAAATTCAACCAAACTTTGTATTTCTTCTCTTTTTTCTTTTGTTTCTATTTTCATTCATAATTAATTAATCCAATTATGTGCATAATGAACATCACTGGATTGCCTTTTATGTGTCAATCCAGTACTTTACAATCTTTGTACCCATAGTACCAGCAGTTGACTCATTCCTGCATTAGCAGCCCTATGATTCAAATATTTGTTTCACCACCAAATATGTCATGAAGTTTCAACAGCGTCCTATCAATAATAACATCACATTTATAGTGGGCCAGGCATTATTCTAGAACATAGTTAATTCATTTAACTCACTATTACTCTACAAATGGCTACTACTGTTTCTCCTACAGATGAGAAATGAGAGACTTCAAGAAATTAAGTAACTTGTTTAAGAAATTACAGGCAGTAAGTAGCAAAGAAAGGATTTGAATTCAGGCATTCTGACTCTAGAATCCATGCCATGTCACACTGCACTACTTCATCAATCTGTGACCAGCAAACACCAAGGATCTATTATTTCACTTTGATATTCTCAATCCACAAGGGGAGTGAAGCGGATACTTCAAAGGACTACGCTAACAGTCTTTTCACTTGAAATTATTATGTCGAGCACTCAAAATGACCCACATACTGTTTATTAAAGCTAATTGCTCAAAGAACTTTTATATTAGAACTTGCTAAGATGTGTCAAAACAGCTATTATTATGAAACAAACATCATAGGAATACCCTAAGTGCATTAAACTTTTCTCACAGGCACTCATCCCTATTGACTGAAATGTGAAAGGCATCAGATATTTTAATATAAATCTAGCATATTAAATATTGGTAAGAATTAACCATATCCCATTATATTTCAGGAATACACCTAAATATTTTAAGAAATAAACATATGCCTTTTCTTTTCTTGCCTTCTTTCTTTCCCTTCCTATCTTTCCTTTCTCTTTCAACTGGCTTTTCTACACAACTCTTTCCAAAACATGATTTCAAATATGAAATTTGTATTTTGACTTTTACTAGAATCAGTTTATTTACTTCATGGACTCCTCCATTTATTTGTAAGTACAAAATCTATAGGTAAAAATCTGTTTTCTCCACGACTATCTGCTTATTTGTTACTATTTCAAATACTATCAAAGATCACACAAAGATTCTATTGCTCAAAAGAAAGTGGCAGCCAGTGACACATTCCAGATCATGAATCCCAAGGCCGGGCATGGTGTTGCATCCCTGCCATCCCAGCACTCAGGAGGCTGAGGCAGGAGGATTGCTGTGAGTTTGAGGCCAGCCTGGGCTACACAGTCAGTTCAAGGCCAGCCTGGACTACACAGTGAGAGCCTGTCTCAAACCCTCCCCCCCGCCAAAAAAAAGATCATGAACCCCAGACAGCTGCTGCCAACCTCCCTGCTCAGGAAGAACAGGCAAGGGGGGAGGGGGGATGGTGAAAGAGGAGTTTGTTTTAAAGGTCTTTTCCTTGCATAGTGTCTTTCAACTGGCAAGGCACCTGTGTCATATGAAACTAAATGTGCACTGCAGAGCATAAACATACATGAAGGGAAGATTTTTTTTTAATTGCATTTAAAAAGTAACTGTGTTTACTTTAGCATCATTCACTTGCCAGGGACAGATGGCTGAACTGTGAGTTCAGGAGATTACAAAATCTAAGAACAAAGCAAGGAGTTGAAAGACCAAAGAAGAGAAAATTTCCCCAAAGCAGAATAATTATTTCCATATAAATCATTCTGAGATTTTTTAAAATGACCTCTATCACCTGTGAGGTAGTGGAAGAGGAAAGTCAAAATGACAAATTGCTAATCATGCCAAGAGACCCCTTTTCCCTTTCCTGATGATGTTTCCTCAACATGAGTGGTAGCTTCCTCGGCAGGCCAACACCAGATGCTGATTTACTACAGGAGCTACATGCATCAGGATGTGAGGACTGACCAGCCCATGAGCCTACAGTGCTTTGCTAAGTGACTTATAATAAAGACAGACGCAGAACTTGGGACATTGTTGCAGGGAATTTTGGTTTCAGTATTACATAATATGACTACTTTAAAAGAAAAGAAATAAAAGAGCAGCTGCTAGCCTTCTCTAATTATTTACCCAAAAAAATCACTTTGAATTTATTTTGTGCCACACAAATAGGACAAAATCAAATGAATAGCTGTTCTTCCCGCCCGCTAGAACTAAATGTTTTATGTATTTCTTCACTGCCTCTTAATCCAAAGTGCTCTGATATTTTCCTCTCAGTATTCCTAATCTGACTGTTTCTTTTTTTTTTGGTACCGGGGATCGAACTCCGGACCTTGCACTTGCAAGGCAGGCGGTGGAACCACTGAGCTAAATCCCCAGCCCCTGACTGTTTCTTTACACTTCACATAGTCAGGGCAAATTAATCTTCCTAAGGCTAACTCCGATCCTTTCACTTTTCTGCACAGCTCCAAATTTCCAATTTCAATGGATTGTGTCGCTTCACCCCTGTGTTATGATAACAGAACCCATGAGAAAATCCAACTCACCTTTCTCTACTCACCTACCACTATTATCCTATAATCAGCCCTCCAGTCCAGACACACCAGATTCTGAGTCCCCCTGGGTCTTTCCCATCCCTTCCTTGCCTTTGTTCAAACTGTTCACTCCACCTAGGCTCCCACATCCAGCCTTGCCCTGCTATGATGCTGTCCAAGGCCCAGCAAAATAATATCCATCTCACAAAACTTCTCCTAGTACGGTAGTACCTCGGTTCACGAACTTAATTCTTTGCACAATTCTGGTTGCAAATTTGGACAAGAACTGAATCAAATTTCCCCATAAAGTCAATGTAGCGGATTAACTAATGGTCAACTTGTAATGCCCAGCTGAACTGAATCAGCGTGGTCTGAGTGTGGAGGATCCAGGATACCTAAAGATTGTTACCAATGGCCATAAAAAGAGAACTGGAGGGACAGATCGTGGCCTGTTGATTTGCTAAGAGAAGCTTGCTGTGGATGGTTTTCCTGACGCAAACTAGGCTCTTCTTGTCAGAGGAGGAGCTCAGGGCCTCACTGTCGCTGGGGATGGCTGCTGTTTTCATCGGGGGAGCTCTGGTCTTCACCATGAGCATCACTTCCTGCTCCAGTGTGGATCCCTCAGCTTGGTGGCACAAATCCTTCATCACACCTGCGTAGGTTTTCTGGCTTCCACCACTGGCCTTGGGCCTTCCAGGTGCAGATCCTCAATACAGACAAGTATGAGACATTGCCGTGGGCTCTAGGCCACTGGCTGGGCCTTGGACTCTATGCCTTTAGCTGGACTTGTGCGGGAAACTGCTGGGGTCCAGGCCCTCGGCTGGATTCTTTGGGCCTCCAGTGTGCGGTTAATCTCTCTAGAACTCCTTTCCATTTGACTTTTTGGGTAATTATCATAAAATAATCCCATATATTATGTGTCCTGTATTTATTATTCCCTTGCAAAGACCCTGACTGCAACAGTCAACACTGAACCTACTCATTGAATTTGATTCGGTTCTCATCTAATTCAGTTTGCAACCAGAATCATGGAAAGAATTAAGTTTGTGAACCAAGGCACCGCTGTAGTGTCACTGCACTGACTGTGCCCTCCTCCTCTCAACCTGGCAACATGTTTCCTAGCCCTCTCTGACACCTTTATTAAGTTCCATCCTGTGCCACAGCTGTTTGGGAGTCTTACCTTGGCAGCTTCAAGCACTGTCCCTGGCATGTAGTATTTGTTGAATGGAACCAACACTGCTACTTTGGAGAATACAAGGTATTTCTCTTCTTAATTTATATTTCTCTCCCCTTTATTGTTTTAATTTTTGTTTTTCCTGATTTTTAAAAAAATATGTTTCATTCAATAATTTTAGTTCTTCATCTTTTTCAGATAAACGTCTTTGTATTTTTCATCTGTTTTGTTTCTTGAGACAGGGTCTCTGTGTGTAGTTCAGACTGGCTGCAAACTCACTATGTATCCCAGGTTTGCTTGGAACTCCCAGGGATCCTCCTGCCTCTGCCTCCTGAGTACTGGAATTATGAGCATGCACCACCACACCCAGCTTCCTTCATGTTTCTCGTGGAAGCCTGGGGACCCCGGGCCAGGCAGTTCTCACTCATCTTCTGAGAGCCCATCACACAAGAGAACAACCCTCCATGCATGCACTCCAGGAGTACAGGTGGAGCATCCCTAGTCCAAAACCCTGAAATCCAAACACTCTGCACTCTGAAACTTCTCAGTCTGGACATGGCAATCAAAAAGTTTCAGATTTTGGAGCATTTCGAATTTTCAGATTGCAGGTGCTTAACCAGGAAAGTCTATGCAAATATTTCAAAACCAGAAAAACTCCAAAACCTGAAAACCACTTCTAGTCTCAGCTGTTTCAGATAAGGGCTACTAAACCTGTGTTTCAAACACATTCTGAGCCTGGCCCTGGGGTACTGAACCTTACTCACCAACAGTCTCTTTTTCCAATGCCACCCAAAATGCACAAACTGACATCAGCGCATAAGTTCCATCAACCAAGGACACCGTGTGAGGGGTTGCCTTGACAACACTGTCTGACAACACTTCTCTCCACAGCAGCCAGAACAGCCCATTACTATTCATAAATAAGAATTAAAGTGGTGAGGGCCGGGGATTTAGCTCAGTGGTTCTGGCACCTGCCTCGCAAGCGCAAGGACCTGAGTTCGATCCCTGGTACCAAAAAAAAAAAAAAAAGAATTAAAGTGGTGAGAAATATATGTCTGTTGTTTAAGCAAATAATAGTGAAAATAGCCATCTCTATATGGTTATAAAATACAACAGCAATTGGTACAAGATCCCAATGATGCATGTAAATGTATTTTATACCTAAAATGTACCAATAAACTTAATAGGGAAAAAAATTAAAAATAAAAATAAAATACAACAGCAAAAGCAGAGCAGTCCCACAGAGACAAAAGCAATACTCAATTTCCTACCTATACCAATATGTGGGGTTGACAGATATTAACACTGATTTTTTGAAAACAATTTTAATCCCAACAAGTTTTAACTATCTCCTCCGACCCCACCAAAACTTTGACAGTAGCAAGAGCCTAAAGATACGCACCATTAATTCTGAACGTGTAGTTATAGATGGATCTTTCTTGCCCAACCCTAATTTCTTTAAGGCTTTGGAGCCGCGGGCTCTGTTAATCTGCATGGCTGAAATGCTTAGCCAACAAAGGTCAATTGGGTACCTGTTGAATGAGGGACCGAGCCTCTTCGGAGACACTTTCTGGCATGTTCAAGGTAGTGTGAGTATTTATTCCTGCTGGGTGGCACTCAACCAAAGTCTGAAACGATCAATCAGGTACATTTCTTATCCGGGGTACCGTTATACTCCCGTACCGTATCGCAGGATTATAGACAGCAAGTACAGACAGGTCAGGCCCCCGCCTCCTCGAAGGGCAATCACCACAGCGTCACCTGTGAAGCTCAGGCCAAGGGCCCTGAGCCTACAGATCTGACTGAAACAAAGGCAGATGATCGTCACAGTCACACCAGGCTGTCCTCGTCCCTCCATTAGAAAATGAGTGGCTCCTAATGAAAGCTTCAATTACACACAAAAGCAGAAGAGAGACTTGAAATCATTGAAGCATTTTAATGTTCTTAAAAACCACCTTCAAAGTTGAGAATCTGTTAGGGATAACACGTTACAGCTATCTAACACTTTATACTTTAAATATATGTAAAGTGATTTGTGAACTTCACAACAATCTTAGGTTGCTATTTACATATTTAAGGCAGACGTTTGTAAAAGGGTAACTGTTTTCTTCCCAGGAGGCAACCTGCCTACTAAAGTCTATTAAAATCAAACATCATACTTAAAAGTTATTGATCAGAGAGAGTATAAATCCTGTCCTTAAGCTAGAAGAGACAGAAAAAATTTCGTCTTGAGAAAAAAAGATAATGTTACCTTATAATAACTACATTGATTTTCTAAAAATGAGAATTTCCTCTGGGCTGCAGATAAGATGTTTAAACCATCTAGAAAATTCTAATACATCCTTATTATAAACCTTACAGATTTGACCCTGTTAAAGCTGAATCGTAGAAAATAAAGGAGAAAAACACGCTACATAACACTGTGACACATAACAGAATCTTACCATTGATTTGTTCAACCAAATACAACTCTATCTTTTAAATCTGGAATCTTGATAAGTCTGCATTTCTCTTTTCTTTTTTCTTTGTATCAAAGCCTTTCTTACTTAGACCCTGACCTAAAAACTAAAGGCCAAGGCTAACATTCTCAATTGGAAGTCAAGGTGGCAGCTGGACACATTTATTAAATGTCCAGGTCGCTGCTTACCTTGCCAGTGAGAAGTTCAAAGAGGACAGCACCCAAGCTCCACCAATCACAGGCTTCAGTTTCTTCTGTGATTGCTCCAACCTCTAAACATACCAAAAAGGTTGATATTAAAATTCCAAAGGTCAATTAAACTTTCAAAATTAACATGTATCAGCAAGGTGACCTTGTTAATGCTGAGAGAGCAGATACTAAATACTACTGGGCTTTCAAAATTCCTGAAAGTTACTCATCCCTTTGGTCACCTACTGTGGTTGCATTTTTTTCTGATGCAGTCATATATTAAACTGAGACATTTGTTCTTTAGTTGATAGAGGGACACCTTCAAGATGCTATTCTTAAAAGTCACATGAACCTACGAGATCAGCATTTTGCTTAATCTTTCACATTCGAGGCAGAACAGACAATTCTACCTTACAAACATTAAAGGCATATTTTGGAAATAAAACTCTTTCTGTTCAAGAGAAACTTCAAAAATATTTAAGCTGGTATTAACCATCCTTTTACTTATGGGTTAGAAACAAGAGAAGTAAAATTCCCTCTCAATGTCACACAGCAGCAGAATGAAGACCTGGTTTTCAGTTTCATCTTCCTTCTCCTATAGAAGCAATTGTTCCTGACCAAAGAAGGAGCATGTGAGATGCTAATTCTCCCATTTTGTAACTGAGAAGTACAGACACACTGTTCTAAGCCACCACTGAAATTACTGGCTAAAATAAAGATCTTTAGAATACTGTATTTGCCAATTACCTGTGTTATCCTATCACTCAAGACCACAAATTCCTGAAATGTAATTTATGAGTTTTTAGATGTCATCTTTCAGGTTTTTCCACAAATCAGCAACAATCCCCCATTTCCCCATTGTTGAGGCCTTTAGCACTTCAGCCATGTTTGCTGTCTTTTCCTCTCCTAAGGCCAGCCTATCGGGTCACTAGGCCTCGCCAGTATCTGCCCTTTATCTCCATTCCACTAAGCAAACAGATCTTATCATCTTACTACAGGGAACCCACTACTCGAACTGTGATAAGTGGACAAGATACTCAGGGGCCCAGCCCTTTCCAACAATGCTTAGCACAACTACTGCGTACTGAGAACAGCAGTTCTTAGGGTGCCTTGGGCCTTAAGTTTAAAGCAAAGCCTGTGTGGGCTACAGAAAGAGAAATAAAAGCCACTCTTCCGTAAAATACTGAAATTACTCCATGTCAGCAACCTTTCCTCCATATGTCTTCCCCTGGGCTCCACAGCCATCCTCTCCTACAGTTTCAAGCCAAATCACAACATTCATTCTCTAACTAGCTGCCCTCAACTAGGTAGTAAGGAGAAAACAGATATTAACTAATTCAAACTATGGTCTGGATAACTGGAAGACTCCAACCTTCCTAGGACCATCTGCACTAACAAAGCAGATGCTTGTTTAAAAACTGCTAACGACCTATCCGGCAAGAGGAGTTTAATCATGTATGTTGTAGCATATCTATATGATGGAATGCTGCCACTTAACCATTTTAAATGACACCTTCATATACAATTAAAGTACGCAAGTAAAGTTTTGTATATATTGTTTTTAAAAACCTATAAAACAGAACTGAGGATATAGTCCAGTGGTAGAGCTTGCCTAGCATGGGCAAGATCCTGGGTTCAATCCCCAGTACTACACATACACACCAAAAGTAAAAGCTATAAAAGGATAGAATTCTATTTTTTAAAGTATGTATTTTTTAAAAGACTGGTGAGAAAATACATAGTGATTTGCTTCTGGGGTGGTTTACACTTATTAACTTACATAAATATCTAAGTGGTACAATTAAAGTACAGCAAGATAATGTGACAGGTGAAAGCTTTATACTTTGACACCAGGAAGACAAAGATGTGTAGGCAACACCTCCCCTAAGAGTTTTCGCCCACTAGTTTTCTTCACAAATTTAAAGTCTTACATATTAGAAAGAACAATGGACTAAGAACCAGGAGTGTCGTGCTGAGTCAACAAATTCACCTGATCCTACCCATCAGATCCTAGCGTGTTACGCTGTAGATGTGCTAGATCCCAGGTTACATTTAGCTCTAAATCCTATGATTTTTGATACCTAAGGATTCCCTACCATGGCGCTTGAGAAAGACAACTTCCTGGGGACTCCCTCCCAAAGTGCACAGTGCTGCCCTTACCACATCCAGATTCACAGCCCCTGCCCCCCGCCCAGAGCGTTGGAAGTGTGTGCTCAGAAAACTGAGAAGGGGTGTATGCTCTCAGAAACTAGAATAGTAAAAAGGAAATTTTCCATAGTCCTGTCAACAAATAAAATGTTTTTCACATTTCCTTCCAGTCTAAACCAAGCAAAAGATTTTACTTTCCTGTTCAAAATTCTTAAATGGCTTCTAAATGGCCTTTAACTAACATTCAAATGTCTTCATTGATCCAGCAGGAATACACAGTCAACTTCCATAATAAAGTCTGAAGCTATGGGATCCATCCAACCCACATACAACAAGCAGCGTAAACTAAGTCCTATAGCAGCGCTATTCCTCCACAACTCTCCGCTCCAGCCACACTGTTAAACAGTGACACCAAAGTCAGTTTTCCCACTAGCATCGTTAATGATTTTATTTATCTTTTTGCTCAAGAATTTCAGAGTTCCATTTTCTTTAAGCATACAGCAAGTAGTATGTATTTCTTAGTTTTATAAAGATTTGACCTGTTTACAACTCAAGATCCAAAGTTAGGGACCGGGCCCCTCTGTGCCCCCAGGAAGCCTCATTTAGTAATGCACGTTACTCTGACAACGGTGATAGTTACAACAATAAACCAGCAGCTAGCATTCATTGACTGGTTACTATGTGTAAGGAACTGTGTTTAACACTTTTCATGAATTAAAGTGTCCAAGCAAGTTTACGAAGAACGAAGAACGTATGTGAGCAGGGTTGCTTTGGGAGAGAGAGAATATTCTATTTATGTGTCCAGGGGGAAGAGACCCATCTGATGCAGACAAATGGGCAAATTAAGAAAATGGGCTTTTGGGATGGAACAACCTGTCCCAAGGAGCCATGGAACCCCACCCCCAAGTCTCTATCATAATGAAGTTCCTCGCTGGAGCTCAGAAAGGGTGGCCGAGATGGGTTTATATATTACTGGTAACACAATCTACAAATGCACCTTCGAATTCAGTGAAAGCCCCAAGCGCATCAGCAGTGTAGCCCTGGCCACCAAGCTCGATGTTACGCCGGTGCTCCCCACCCCACTCCCGGGACTGCCCACCCCAGGGCAGAGCTTCAGTGAGTGTGCTTCAGGGCTGGGGATGGAGCTCCTGAAGCCACTCTGCAAACACTGTGTCTTCCTGGGCCTCAGAGATGTTTATATGTATGAGTGGAGGTGAGATATTATTTGATTATTAAAAAGAAACACAGACCATTCATGGAACACGATGTAAAATGTGCATGGACTTGCAAGATAAAGAGACTTCCAACAAACCTCCAATCCTGTTTCACTGTCCCCCGGGACACCCATTTCCTCTCACCTCTGCAGTCAGAGCAGCTGGGTAGGAAAGTGCGAGGGGCTCTTAGGAGACACGCAAGGTGGCCTCCTTATTGTTTTCTGCACACCTGCTCAGTTCATCTAGGGTCACTGGTTTCCTGCTGCTTTTCAGTCCCTGGTAACCTTCAACGGGGTCCTTACCAGGCAGTGACCGACATATTGCTTCACAAGCACAGGGCGGTGCCTGAAGTTCTCACCTGCGCCCAGCAGCCCGTCCACTCCAGCTCAGTCAGCCGCAGCCTGCTGCTCTCATCCCCACAATCTCTTCCGCCCTCCCTCGATCATCAACCCTTCTTCCCATCTCCCCTCATTTTCCCTGTCTTCCTTCCTCTGGGATGCAATCAGTTCAGCTCTCTAATGGCTCCCAGGCCTAAGGAGCTTGTTGGTCCCATCCAAGAAAAACTGCTTCCAGAAGCCTGAAGACAGCTAGGCTGCGAGTCCTGTTTAATCTAAGGGGGCCATAAAGGGGATAACAACTGCAAAAAGGTCATTGTTTTTCACTGGAACATAAGAATAAAAGATGTGGAATAGGTTTTAAATCTATTCCCTTAATAATGCAGCTTGAAACTCTTCAAAATGACTTTTTATCACTAATTAATGTGGGGCCGGGGATGTGGCTCAGTGGTTCCACCATCTGCCTCCCAAGTGCAAGGTCCCGAGTTCGATCCCTGGTACCAAAAAAAAAAGTAGAAAAAGTACAGAAATGCCAAAGAAATCCCTGAGGCCAGTGACATTTTAAAGGACATATTCTACTGCTGCTTTGTCAATGTTCAAACTATTTTTCCTACAGAACAGGAGGTGCTAAGTATCCGCGCAGTGCACGCACCCTCCAATATTCCACACTTGCAGTTTTCAGGCTGAGCTCAGCAGCACCCTTCCTTCCCACAAGGGCGCTCATCTTGTAAGCACTAAGCAAAGTGATCTGGGGAAAATTAACTACTGCCTCAGAAAGCAGTTCTCAGGTTACCCTCCCAAAACCCGAGAAGAGTTGGTGGTACCCAAGAGAGTTGGCCTTTCACCCTCTCGGAGTCAGAGGTGTGGCAGGCCACTCACTCTGCCGCTCTGTAAGCCTGGCTGGGGTGGCACTCAGGTCCCCTGAAATGAGGGCAGCCTGAAGTCTACCTTTCTTCCTACCTCTTGTAACCTTAATTCTATCATCCTGGGAAGTGCTTTCCAGGCACTTAACAGCCTTCTTGCAACTTCTTCCTCCGTTAATTTAAGGCGCCCAAGGAGTGGAATTGTTAAAAGGAGCAGCGAGCATGCGTGCGTCTTCCTCTCTCCTTCCGGTCCACAGCCACAGCCCCTCCCTGAGAGCCAAGTGCCTGGTGGCAAGGGAAACGCAGCAGTGGCACCGAATCTCATGGCCACCCTTTAATGTAAGGGACACAGGGGCAGCTCCAGAACAGACTTCAACTCACCCACACACTCCGGGGGCATTAAAATGTGCAAACAGTTCAGTAAAATGAGCAGAATTTTGCTGTAGTGCAATCCACCCTGACACTAACTACACTACGGAATCTCATCGATTCCCACTCATGATTCAAACTATCGTGTTTCACA